TGGCCACGCTGTCCGGCCCCTGGGGCGGCAGAACGTCACAGCCCACAACCCTGGGGGGGGGATAGGGGTGGTGTTGGGGGTGCACGGCAGCTGCAGGGGCAGCGCAGTGAGTCTGAGGAAGGCAGGGGCGGTGCAGTGAGTCCGAGGGGGGGGCCTGCCGCCGCCTCCCCTCCAGCACAAGCAGCTTGCTCGCCCCGGCACTCTTCCCCCGCCATCACCCGAGCATACGCGCGCGCACGCACGCACAAGCTCGCACGCACGCACACGCACGCACACGCACGCACACGCACGCACACGCTTGCACGCACGCACACACGCACACACGCACGCACACGCTTGCACGCACGCACACACGCATGCACGCACACACACGCACAGACACAAACACACACACACATATATACACACGCACGCACGCACATAAGCGCACGCACATGCACACACACACGCACGCACACGCACACATACATCCACACACAAACAGACAAACCCATGCAAAAAACCGCACATGTGTAACGCGGCCCAACAGCCAATTGCCACCCACTTGACCTGCCAGCCGTGGCGCTCGTGGTCGACCCACAGCCCCTGAACCACCAGGGTCGACCCCACCCCCGCGCCAGGCATCGGCCCCACCAGCACCACGCCGCGGCCCCGCGCCCGCAGGGCTGCGTCGCGCGGCGCCGGGAGGCGGTGGGCGGTGGCGTCGGGCGCGTCCGTCACGTCCTCCAGCAGCTGCGCGGCGGGCGGTTTTGACATCGGGGCGTTTGAAAGGTGGTTGTTTTTGCGGGGGGGGGGAGGGGCCGCGGCGCGCGGGCAAGATGAGAGGAACGCGGGTGACGATGGGCCGCTGCGGCACACCAGGGCCGCTTGGGGGAGGGGGGGGTGTGATGTGTGGCAAGGCCGCCACAGATGCGTCACTGCTGCGGGACGACACCCCTGCTCGGCACGGTTTGTGCACCATTCATCTGGTCAGATCAGATCAGATCACATCACATCACCTTGGCCGTGAGAACCTTGAAGCTGGTGTCACCCTCGTGAGTCACGCGCTTCACCACCGCACGAAGCTCCACCCCCCACTGGGGCGCCTCCACCGCCGCCGCCCCCGCCGCGGCCCCCCTGGTCACGCGTGGCGTCCGCATGCCGGGGCTGGGGGGTCCGGACGGCAGCGACGCGCTCCTGCGCCGCAGGGCGGGCGGCGGGGACGGCGCCTGGGGGGCAACGCCTTGGGCGGGGCGGCTGGGGGGTAGTGAGGTAGCGCTGCCGGGAGGAAGCGGCTGGGGCGTGTATGTCTGCTGTTGCTGCTGCGGCTGCTGCTGCTGCTGCTGCTGCTGCTGCTGCTGCTGCTGCTGCTGCTGCTGCTGCTGCCGCTGTTGCGGATAATAGTGCTGCTGCGGCGGCGGCGGCGACGGCGGCGGCGGCGATGGCTGCTGCTGTGGCTGCTGCTGTGGCTGCTGCTGTGGCTGCTGCTGTGGCTGCTGCTGTGGCTGCTGCTGCATGGCTGGGATGTCCCACGGGGCGACAGGCGAACGCGGCTGCTGCGACTGCTGCTGTAGTGGCGGTGGCAGTGACTGCTGAGGTGGCGGCTGCGGCTGTTGCTGCTGCAGCGGCGGCGGCCGTGGGATGTCCCACGGGGCCAGAGGCTGCTGCTGGACCGGCTGCTGTCTCGGCTGCCATGGCTGTTGCGACGGCAGCGGCGCTTGCTCCCACGCCGCAGCCTCTGCGCACCCTGGTGCCGCCTCGCCGCCGCCACCAGGCCAGCCGCCGCTGCCGCCAATACCGCCACCACCAGGGCTCTCGGAGCCAGGCCCGCCCCAGTCGCCCGCCAACCCGCCGACCCTCAAGTCGCCACCAGGAGCCCCCCGGATCCCCTGAGCCTCCGATTGAGCCCCCTGCTGGGGCCGCAGCGCCTGCTGCTGCTGGGGCTGCGGCAGCTGTGCCTGCTGCGCATGCTGCGCCTGCTGCGCCGCGGCGGGGCCGAGGGGTATGCTGGCCAGGTCGCTGTAAGGGGTGCCGCTGGCGGTGGACGCGCGCCGCAGCGCCTCGCGCGCCGCCGCCAGTCGGTCAGCCGTGGGGGCCGCCATGCGCTGTGGGAACGGCGGCGGCTCCGCAGCCGCCGCCGCTGCTCCGGGCGCGGCAGGCTGCTGCTGCAGGGGCGACGGCGGCGGCTGCTGGGGAGGCAGCTGCCGCGCCAGCGGGGGCGGGAAGCGCGGCCCTGCAGCGGGCGGCCCCGCGGGAGCGGCTCGCGGGGGACCGGCAGGCGGTGCTGCGGCGGGCGGGGCGCGCGGGGCGGCCGCGGCGCGCATCGG